GCTCTGCAGATGAGGTCTCAAAATCTCCCCTTTGCCCACGCTGAGGATCAGCCAGGACTGAGGGGTTTTGGGCTCTCATTTCCAACCTCTCACCCACCAAAACCCCTGGGYTGCTCTAAGCAGAGARTGAGAATTGGAAGGAAATGCAGAAKTGAGCCTGGAACCCGTGTTGTTATTGTGAGTTATGCTGAAGGGTAACAAACATTTCCATATCTCAATTTGAAATTATAAGATTTTTATAAGCCTGGCGGTATTCTTTCAGGTTTTCCTGTGAATTCCAGCTTGCCCTGCTGAAGGTGATAAATATCTTATCGCCACTTAATGAGGGAGTAATTTCATGCTCATCTTTAATTCATGAGCTCTGTCATTATCCCCCTGTGATGACGAGATGTCTGTTCTTCAGCCAGTCAGGTTTTTATACCGTTACCCTCTTCAGCTCTTTTCCTGAACTGAATTTTTCCTGGAAACATCCCCATGCCTGTACCCTATTTTCTGGGAAATCTTGGTGTTTCTGCTGTTTATTATCAACAGCCAATTCCTTGGGAAGGCTTCCACAATCATTCCCAGTCTGTTAAAACTCCTTTGGAAGTGTTTTGAGGGAAATACATTGCTATTTATAACAAACTTTCTGTTCTGAAGGCTGAACTGGCATTATATTGGAATGAGAGCTGAGTATAACATGGGATTAGAGATTTATTTTATCCCCAAATGCTGCAGTTGGYTAAATCCCTCACAGCACAGTGCAGAGAAGAGTTAATTTTCTTGGCTGGCTTAATAATTTACTTTATCTTAACACATAAAAAAATGGCTCTCAAACATCCTGCTGCAGCTGGGCACAGCCCAGAAATAACTGTCACCATATAAAATATTTTATTTCTGATCTGGGTGTTCATTTGTTTGGTTGTGTTGCTGTGGACACGACGTGGCACCAAAGCAATTCAGTGAAACGCTGAAAAAAACCACAGGGTTGGGTGGATTTGGGGCAGTTCTGTATTTTGGCTATCAAGTCATTCAGCAGGTTTGTATTTCCAGTCATATTTCTGTGATAGCTGATAGATTAATTCATAAAAATAACTGAATGTAAAAGATGCAGCACTGCAGGGAATGACTGGGAAACCTGATGGTCCCAGACTCCCATCCTGGGATTAGTCCAGGCCTTGGCCTTAAATCACTTAAATCTGGGTTTTAAATCCCAGAATCTCAGAATCCTTCAGGTTGGAAAAGGCTGGGTCATGTCCACCTYTCAGGTTCTGTGTGCTGGATATTGGCTAAAAGGAGTTCAAAGCAGAGATTCCCATGCAAATTTTTTACGTAATAGTGCATTTAATAAATTCTGGTTAATCTTTCTTGCTATAAAATGTAGATTTAGAAGGGAAGTTTTGGGATTGCAGCTGCTGCCTTTTAAATAAATCTAAATTTATAAATATAATATATATATTATAAACAGGTTTTTGGAAAATATAATATATAATATTAATATAATATTATTATATAATTAAAATATAATTATATATTTTATAATATATAATTTTATAATGTATATAATATTATATATATAATATATTATAATATATATTATATATATTATATCTATATTATATATTATATATATTATATATATAATATATATATTATATATATTATATATTATATATATATAATATATATAATATATATTATAATATATAATTTTATAATATATATAATATTATATATAATTAAAATATAATATATAAATATAAACAGGTTTTTGGAAAGCAGGAGCAATGATCARTGGTGTTCTGTGATTGGAACTGGAAGTTGGAAACGGTGGCATCTGAGGGATGTGGCTTCAGGGCAGGATATTTGGGAATAATCCCTTTCTGGAAAAGTCTGTCCTGCCCTGGCACAGCTGCCCAGGGAGATTTGGAGTGTCCATCCCTGGAGCCAACGTGGATGTGGCACTTGGGGACTTTTTGTATTGGTTGGCATTGAAAATGAACACCTTTTTTCATGGTGTGTGGGATGGTCTGTGCACAATTCTGAGTCCTGGTGACTCTTCTGGCAGGTCCCTCCTCCTCCTGAACAAGGAGGCTGAGCTCTTCTAACTCATAAAGTGTGGTTTCATTAAAGACCTTTTAATAAAGTTTGTGTGGTTTCATTAAAGACCTTTTCATAAAGTTTGTGTTGTTTCATTAAAGTTTACAGGGTGTCTGTAAATCCTGTGTTTTTGGGGGAGGTGGGGCAGGGCAGGCTCATCTTTCTGTTCTGAGTTGATGTGGCATTGATTTTCTTTTTTGTAAATAAACACTAATTACTTCTTTATTTGTTTATTTATTTTAGGGATAGACTTCAAGATTAAAACTGTTGAATTACAAGGAAAGAAGATCAAGCTACAGATCTGGTGAGTAACACACAAGTTTCTTCAGCAGCAGATGTTCCTGGGGAGAGTGTGCTCTTCCTGAATTCCATTCAGAATTCCAGGTTTTTTTTTGCAATTGTTCTGTATTTCCATAGTGGTGATGCTCCCTCCAATGTGTGTATTTGGAGTTTGTAACCACTGCTCCCTTGAACAGGCTGTTGGGGAGGARAGGATCCTCACAGGCTGTGATTTAGTGGGAAATGGGTTTAAAACTGGAATTTTTAAATWAGGACTTRCCTCCAGTCTGTGACTATAAATTGATTCGTAGCTTTGCTCTGTGTCAGCAAGAAAATGCAAACCCAGGGCTGGAATTTTCCATGCTCAGCTTTGGAGAGGTTTCTCAGCTGGCTGGAACACGGCTGCTCTGTGGGAATGTCTGACAAGAAGCAAATCCTCAGCTCCTTCTTTTGAGCTTCTGTGCTTTTAACCAGAGGTTTTTCAGCAGCTCAGGTGGGTCTGGCTGGGCTCATGTGCAGTCCAGTATTCCCTGCTTTAGAAATGGTGCTGCTCCCAAAGCAGTGCTGGAATAGCCCCAGGATCTCTGGAATATCACCAGAAACACTGGAATAGCCCCAGGATCTCTGGAATACACCCAGGATCTCTGGAATAGCCCCAGGATTACTGGAATACCCCCAGGATCTCTGGAATAGCCCCAGGATCTCTGGAATATCCCCAGGATCTCTGGAATATCCCCAGGATCACTGGAATATCCCCAGGATCTCTGGAATATCCTCAGGATCTCTGGAATAGCCCCAGGATCACTGGAATAGCCCCAGGATAACTGGAATGTTGCAGGATCTCTGGAATATCCCCAGGATCACTGGAATATCCCCAGGATCTCTGGAATAGCCCCAGGATCTCTGGAATATCCCCAGGATCACTGGAATATCCCCAGGATCACTGGAATATCCCCAGGATCACTGGAATATCCTCAGGATCTCTGGAATATCCCCAGGATCTCTGGAATATCCCCAGAATCTCTGGAATATCCCAGAATCACTGGAATACACCCAGGATCACTGGAATATCCTCAGGAATATCCTCAGGATCACTGGAATATCCCCAGGATCTCTGGAATATCCCCAGGATCTCTGGAATAGCCCCAGGATCTCTGGAATATCCTCAGGAATATCCCCAGAATCACTGGAATATCCTCAGGAATATCCCCAGGATCTCTGGAATATCCTCAGGATCTCTGGAATATCCCCAGGATCTCTGGAATATCCCCAGGATCTCTGGAATATCCCCAGGATCTCTGGAATATCCCCAGGATCACTGGAATATCCCCAGGATCTCTGGAATATCCCCAGGATCTCTGGAATACACCCAGGATCTCTGGAATATCCTCAGGAATATCCTCAGGATCTCTGGAATATCCCCAGGATCTCTGGAATATCCCAGAATCTCTGGAATACACCCAGGATCTCTGGAATATCCTCAGGATCACTGGAATATCCCCAGGATCTCTGCAATCCCCAGGATCTCTGGAATATCCTCAGGATCTCTGGAATATCCTCAGGAATATCCTCAGGATCACTGGAATACACCCAGGATCTCTGGAATTGCCCCAGGATCACTGGAATACACCCAGGATCTCTGGAATATCCCCAAATCTCTGGAATAGCCCCAGGATTACTGGAATGTTGCAGGATCTCTGGAATATCCCCAGGATCTCTGGAATATCCCCAGGATCTCTGGAATAGCCCCAGGATCACTGGAATATCCCCAGGATCACTGGAATATCCCCAGGATCTCTGGAATATCCCCAGAATCACTGGAATATCCCCAGGATCTCTGGAATATCCCCAGAATCACTGGAATATCCCCAGGATCTCTGGAATATCCTCAGGAATATCCTCAGGATCTCTGGAATATCCCCAGGATCTCTGGAATAGCCCAGAATCTCTGGAATACACCCAGGATCACTGGAATATCCTCAGGAATATCCTCAGGATCACTGGAATATCCCCAGGATCACTGGAATATCCCAGAATCACTGGAATACACCCAGGATCTCTGGAATATCCCCGAATCTCTGGAATAGCCCCAGGATTACTGGAATGTTGCAGGATCTCTGGAATATCCCAGAATGTCTGGAATAGCCCCAGGATCTCTGCAATCCCCAGGATCTCTGCAATCCCCAGGATCTCTGGAATATCCCAGAATCTCTGGAATAGCCCCAGGATCATCTGTGTTCTCCAGCCTCACTGAGAGAGCTCAGAACTGGAATTTGTCCATTTTGTCCCACCATTAACAATCCTTACAAATTTCCAACGTTGGTGTCTTTATTTGCAGGTGGGTGGGTTTTCCAGTTTGGGAGGGCATTTTTCATCTCCCTTTTTCTGGGCAGTCATTCCAGGATAATCTGGAGTGATGATCCTTCCTAACCAGTGCATCCAGAGTCACCAGCACCCTGAAAAAAAGTGTTAAAACTGCCAGAGGGCAGGGATGGATGGGATATTGGGCAGGGATTATTCCCAGAGAAGTTGTGGCTGCCCCTGGATCCCTGGCAGTGCCCAAAGCCAGACTGGAGAGGATTTGGAGCATCCTGGGACAGTGGAAAGTGTCCCTGTCCATGGCAGGATGAGTTTTTAAGGTCCTTTTCAACCCAAATCCTTCCCTGATTCTGTGCTTAAACTTAAAAAAATCATCAGGAAATGTAAAAACAGAAAATGGGGAAATGTTTAATACAGGGTGAGCTTTAAGGTCCTTTTCAACCCAAATCCTCCTCTGATTCTGTGCNCAGGATCTCTGGAATAGCCCCAGGATCTCTGGAATAGCCCCAGGATCTCTGGAATATCCTCAGGAATATCCTCAGGATCTCTGGAATAGCCCCAGGATCTCTGGAATATCCTCAGGAATATCCTCAGGATCTCTGGAATATCCCCAGGATCTCTGGAATATCCCCAGGATCACTTGAATAGCCCCAGAATCACTGGAATAGCCCCAGGATCTCTGGAATAGCACCAGGATTACTGGAATATCCCCAGGATCTCTGGAATATCCTCAGGAATATCCTCAGGATCACTGGAATAACCCCAGGATCTCTGCAATCCCCAGAAACACTGGAATAGCCCCAGGATCTCTGGAATATCACCAGAAACACTGGAATAGCCCCAGGATCTCTGGAATATCACCAGAAACACTGGAATAGCCCCAGGATCTCTGGAATATCCTCAGGAATATCCTCAGGATCTCTGGAATATCACCAGAAACACTGGAATATCCCAGAATCACTGGAATACCCCCAGGATCTCTGGAATAGCCCCAGAATCACTGGAATACACCCAGGATCTCTGGAATATCCTCAGGAATATCCTCAGGATCTCTGGAATATCCCCAGGATCTCTGGAATAGCCCCAGGATTACTGGAATACACCCAGTATCTCTGGAATATCCCAGAATCTCTGGAATAGCCCCAGGATCACTGGAATATCCCCAGGATCTCTGCAATCCCCAGGATCTCTGGAATATCCCCAGATCTCTGGAATATCCCAGAATCACTGGAATAGCCCCAGGATCTCTGGAATATCCTCAGGAATATCCCCAGGATCTCTGGAATATCCCCAGTATCTCTGGAATATCCCAGAATCACTGGAATACACCCAGGATCTCTGGAATATCACCAGAAACACTGGAATAGCCCAGGATTACTGGAATATCCCCAGGATCTCTGGAATAGCCCCAGGATCTCTGGAATATCCCCAGGATCTCTGGAATAGCCCCAGGATCTCTGGAATATCACCAGAAACACTGGAATAGCCCCAGGATTACTGGAATATCCCAGAATCTCTGGAATATCCCCGAATCTCTGGAATAGCCCCAGGATTACTGGAATATCCCCGAATCTCTGGAATATCCCCAGGATCTCTGGAATATCCTCAGGAATATCCTCAGGATCACTGGAATATCCCCAGGATCTCTGCAATCCCCAGGATCTCTGGAATATCCCAGAATCTCTGGAATATCCCCAGGATCTCTGGAATATCCCCAGGATCACTGGAATATCCCCAGGATCACTGGAATATCCCCAGGATCACTGGAATATCCCAGAATCTCTGGAATACACCCAGGATTACTGGAATATCCCCGAATCTCTGGAATAGCCCCAGGATTACTGGAATGTTGCAGGATCTCTGGAATACCCCCAGGGTCTCTGGAATATCCCAGAATCTCTGGAATATCCCCAGGATCTCTGGAATAGCCCCAGAATCACTGGAATATCCCCAGGATCTCTGGAATAGCCCCAGAATCACTGGAATATCCCCAGGATCTCTGGAATATCCTCAGGAATATCCTCAGGATCACTGGAATAGCCCCAGGATCACTGGAATGTTGCAGGATCTCTGGAATATCCTCAGGAATATCCTCAGGATCTCTGGAATATCCCCAGGATCTCTGGAATATCCCCAGGATCTCTGGAATATCCTCAGGATCACTGGAATATCCCCAGGATCACTTGAATAGCCCCAGAATCACTGGAATATCCCCAGGATCTCTGGAATATCCCAGAATCTCTGGAATAGCCCCAGGATATTGGGCAGGGATTATTCCCTGAGAAGCTGTGGCTGCCCCTGGATCCCTGGCAGTGCCTAAAGCCAGACTGGAGAGGATTTGGAGCATCCTGGGACAGTGGAAAGTGTCCCTGTCCATGGCAGGATGAGTTTTTAAGGTCCTTTTCAACCCAAACCCCTGATTCTATGCTTAAACTTAAAAAAAATCATCACAAAATGTCAAAACAGAAAATGGGGAAATGTTTAATACAGGGTGAGCTTTAAGGTCCTTTTCAACCCA